CGTCCCTCCGCCTCCGGCCACCGGAGAACGCCTCATGTCCAAATCCTCCGTCTCCAAAACCCTAAAGGTAGTAATTCCTCCTTCTTTTTTACACCTCACACAAACATAAACAACACAGAAGATCAGAACATATAAAAGATAAACATGCAAGACAAGAACTTGAAACCCTAAAGCGCGTTTGAAGAAGGAAATTCGTTACCTTTTCTTTATCACTGCCTGAACGACCATGGAGAGAGGGAAGTGGAGGTGGCGTCTGGTAGCCTGAGGCGGTTGGATGAGATATCAGTTGGCCATGTTTGATAAAGGAAGAAGAGGCGAAGAAGAAGGTGGAGAGCGGCGCCGTTCATGAACAAACCCTTGTTCTGAGCAATAAACATTCAAACCCTAAAAATTGTTATGAACCATTTGGGCATGCCCTCACAAAATACACCCTAAGCCCAATCCATTCTGGCGCCCCCCCCCCCCCCCCCCCCCCTTTTTCTTTGAATCTGTTGTTTTTTTGTTTGGGCCAAGCATACCCCTAAGCCCATTTAACTCTTGTTTTTACAAATCAATCTTTTTTTATTTTATCATATTATTTCCCTTTCTTTTTATATAATTTATTTTGATAAGAAAAACAATATATTATTTTTTGTACAAAATTTTTCTTAAATGTTTATTACATTTTACAAAAATATGTAAATATTAGATTTATTAGGTTAATAGATTTTTGTCTTAAAACTTTTTTTTTAATAAACCTTTGTATATATAAACTAAAATACATAAACATTAGTTTTCTTTAACTTAAACATTTTTCTTTTCTTTTCTTTAAAACTTTTATTTATATAATTAACAAAAACACAAAAATAAGAAAATACTTAACAAATACATTAGGCTAGCATTTTGATCACTTGTAAATAATCATGTGCATCTTACATACTTTTGATTCTCTTTTATCCTTATATATTTTGCTATATCTTTACATTGAGAATGCGACGATTCGATTTGGTTGTAAATAATATTTGGACACTACTATTCTGATGAGACTCATCCCCATTTGTAAACATTTGTACCCCCATCCCCGGATACTTATTTGTAATAGCTTAGACTTTAAATTCCCGCAATTTATCGCTTTCTATATATACTGTATAGTAATTAGGGTTTGTATGCGAAGATTCAAAATCAACCGCTAGATAACCTAATACAAGACAAATGCATGAAAATCAATACACAATTCACACTTGCACCTCTAGGGTAATCCCGCTTGTTGCCTTCAAAAATGGGCCATGTTTGCATGTCAAGTACTTTGGCAAAACAAAACAAAACAAAAATGATCATAGTCCCTCGATGACGCTATCTTGTTGCCTAAACAAAATGATCATAGTCCCTCAAGAAAATTGCCAAAATACTTGACACTATCGCATTCATGGTCTAAACGTCCTAACACAAGGTTGTTCACCAAATACAATGGTGAAACAACACTGTTAAAAGGGTTAAAACATGAGAAAGACCTTTGAGTACAATAGGGTAGACAACTCTTAGTTACTTGATCAAACTTGCAAAACACACTTGCCTACTTTCAAAACACACTCCACAACACAACTTTCAAAACAACTTTCAAAAACATTGAAACATCTTTTCAAAAAGACAAACACCTTTGTAAAATATTCGAGTAAAGAATTGTTACAATGGTTGCCTAGACAAGGCATCTTTTTCAAAACATTTTCAAAAGCACACACACACAAGCACCATTTCAAACAATTGAAAATCAAGGCAAGTGATCTAAAACAAGTAACTAAGAGCCCATGGATAACCATGGATGAAAAGGGTGCTAGCACATTCCCTTTTCATAATCTACCCCCCGAACCCACGAAAACATCTTAAAGGTCTTTCATGTGCTTTTTGACCTTTCCTTAGGATAAATAAAAAGTCGGTGGCGACTCTTGCTCAACCGAACATTTGCGAAAACAAACGCAAAACCTCAAGTCAATTTTCCCCACCGTATCACAGTAACAATACTCAATTGTTAAACAAACTACGACTCGACAACTTGGTCGGACTGATCGACTTTGCTCTGATACCAACTTTGTAACACCCCAACTCTACCCGACAATATAAATGTAAATCAGTTATAAAAATTATACAACTGAATCAAGATGCCACAAATTAAACTTAAAAACCATTGCATTCAACATGGATACATAATACTTTCAAACTTCGGATGAACCAACAGCAAAATAAATTAATGTTTTAAACCAACAACTTGAACAACTACGCAACAGAGTCATAATAACATCTTTATCCAACATTAAAGCAACTTTTGAATAACAAGTACTTAACAATCAATCGACTTAAGGTTCAAAATTTGAAATAACAAATACTAAAGCAACTAGCGTTCACCCCCCGAGTGTTATGTATCAGAGCAATGACACCGACTCAAACTATGGAAGGTAAACCGCCTTCACTCTAGATTACCTGCACGTTACCAACATAAGGGTAACATTCAAATAGAAGGGGTGAGATATCGAACACTATAATAGAACGTATGATAAACATTATATTAGAATTATTTCATGCAAAAATCACCACTTCACAACTTATAAACAACAACAATCACAACAAGCTATCGACAAAACACAATAATTAATTCTTCAATACAACAACTCAATTATACAACTTGGAATGCGACTCAATACTATGCGAATGCACGTGGTACCATTGGAGCAGAACTCCCATCTTAAAATCTGCCAATATATATATATTCCCTCAATTCCAATAATATAATTATTATTAATCAACTAATTAATTAATTAATAATAATCCAACAACTTATACCAACAATTCTTAACATCTTCCAACTTCACAAATAATCTAAAAATAATTTAATTAAATAAATAATTGAATTAAATTACGGACGTTACAGGTACTGTGTGACAGGTATGGATTACGGCAAGAATCCAAGATTCAATGTCGCTCTATATCGTAGTCTATCGGATCACCTTGGCCCGGATGATGTACGTCGTACCTTTGAACTTTTCTACTTTTAAATTATTATTTATTACGTTTTCATTATGCTGATTTAATTTTATCCACATTTTATCTGGAGACCATATTTGGGTTGGACCATGAACCAAACCCCGAGGATGTAGCTGTTTAGACCACATAGACTGCAATCATACGGTTCAACATTATAGAGATACACCACAACGACCGTGTCAAGATGCAGTTTGGAATGCATCAAGAGATATCCTGCGATCCAACTTGTTTGTCCCTCTGACATCTCAAAAGGATCGACGCTCAATGAGGTCTTACTAATTGGAAAGATTTTACTCCAGAATGGTGTAAGATGTGGCATAGGCGTCACCAACACGTCTTGCAATTCCCTATTTTCCTCAACTAGAATAATATACGACACACGGATCAATATTTAGCTTGGTACATATCGGTTAGTAACCCAGAAATGCACGTGTCTCATTCGAGGTATTTGGTTAACCCACGAACACAATGGGCACATCCCTCAAATCCCTAATAACAAACCTAACACACATCAACCTCTCACCAACCACCCCGACGATACAAATCCACAACCACCCAACTACAATCACCACCACAATACAAATACACCCATATGCCCACACCCAACCACAATCATCACCTTAATACCAATACCCCCATATGCCCCACACCCAACCACAATCTCAATCATAATACCAATACACCTGTATGCCCCACGTATAATTCCAATATTCTCCATATTCCATGTGGATCCCTTAACATCTAACCTTAGTCCTGATCTGGGATTTTCCGAAGAATATGACCCAACCGATCCAGCTTACCATCAACCACCACATCACCATAGCACCCAACAGTCGCAATACCAAACACCCCAAGATTCATTTCTTTTCTACCCCTTACTCAGACGACTAGTGCTATAGACCATCCATGGAACCCCATCCACCACAAAGACGACCAAACTTTGAGGGTATGGGTAACCGACTGTACCAAAACGGATCTTCCAGATATGATGATCTGACTGATTTCATGGATCCTGAACGCATTGACTTCACTGGTCCATCGATCCTGCCACAACAGGAAATGCGATGAAATCCACCACGAGACATGCGAGGACGTGGATGCGGAACCACGAGTCGTTACCGAGTTTCGGGAGACCACAAGTTATTTTATATATTTTTTTACTATGTAATCGTTTTTTTAAAATGAAAAGTCGAATTTTCGTGAAACTAAATCGTTTACCTAATATCTTACATTTAAAATAAAAAACAAAAAAAATTGCACCTCTATTGCACTTAGGCGCCATCTCACATGGCTTAGGGCAAACTTTTAACACCTAAGCGCCAAGTAAGATGACACCTCCCCTTTAGTTTTAGGTGCATGCACCAATTGGGTTGACTCCTCCTTTGTGAAATTTTCTAAAACATGATTATTTGCGTAATTTTCTCCGAAATATAATTATTTATGTATTTTTTTTTTCAAAATTTGATTATTAAAAAAAAAAAATCTCAAACAAACTCTTAAAATTTAAATAAACATTATATAGTATTAAATAATAATAGTAAATTCTTTAATACCTATAAATTTTAATATTATGGATAACTTCCTAACAAATTCAAAAATATCAAAATATTCACATAGATAATTTAAATATTAAAATTTTTTAGTAATAGTAAAATTATATGTTTTGAATATTCACATATTATCATTCAGTTTTATTTATATTTTACAACACATTATTTGTTCCTCGATATTCCCGCAAGCGGGTAGTAGGTTCACGGTTCGTAGATCGAACCCTCTTTCAATCAGGCAAGAATTAAATCATTTCTAGAAACTTCCAAATCCTCATTCCATTTTGTTCGTTCAACTACTTTCTAACTAACCAATTTTCCATTCAATAGCAACCAACCCTATTTGAATCTTCAATTGTATCTATTTTTGTAGCTATAGGTTTTGGAAACTAGAACCCTAGCAGAAAATTGATTGATTTTGGTTTGGTTTTACTGGTTATGGCTATTGTAAAGGAAGAAGGTGAACATGAATTGGCTCCTCCACCGCAGAAGAAAGAACCGTCTGAAAATGAGAAGAGGTAGTTTTTTTTTTTGGTTGATTTGGTTGTAGTGATTGTGTTTTGAACATTGTTTGTTTGGAAAGTTCAGGAAGAAGAAAATTGTGCCTGGGAGTTTGATGAAAGCTTTGATTCTACCTGGTGGCGGTGATTCTGGACCTTCAGATGGTGATCAGGTTTGTTTATGTCCATGTAGCAACACCTCTGAAAAAAAGGTGTATTGGTGTGTGGAACCGACACTATTACTGGTGTCTGAAACCGACACTGACACTTATTATTACGTTTAATTTATTCGACACTTTTGAAAAAAGATGCATAGGTGTCTGAAATTGACTGAAACCCACACCTACACTTATTATTACGTTTAATTTATTCAACACTTTTGAAAAACGATGCATAGGTGTCTGAAACCGATAATGACACTTGTTATTACGTTTAATTTATTCATTTTTTCAAATTATTACTTGTGTCGGTGTGTCACTGTCAGTGTCTTGTTTTTTTTATCCAATCACGATGTCATGATTATGGTGACTGATATTCATAGGTTTATGATTAAGATAAACATTTAAACTTCAATTTGGGACAGTGAAATCTTACAACTTTTTAATTTGTAAATGAACTTCACATGGGCTGTATACTTGGTTAACACAGATCCATTCAATGAGTGGTTAATGGATGTATCAAGATTGGATAGCTTATAAACCTTCTATTAAACTTATTTAACCATGAGTTTGAAGATTGTCAACAATGATTCCAGGTGTTCCAACTGAATTTCAATTAGAACGGTTGAATATCTAGGTTAACGTCGTTTAAATCGTGATTACTTTAATTCATTAGATGGTTAATGAGTTGCAATACCTGATATATCTATTAACCATATATCTAACATTTCATTAACCACTTGTGTGAATTGGGTAGAAGAGGGTAATAAATAATAAAGAGTATTATAGGAAATGAAACATTAGTGTTTCATTGATATTAGAAAACAACTTATAATTTAGGACAGTTTTTTTTACGAAGTGACTTATAATTTGGGATGGAGAGAGTATATAGGTAAGCTAGAAATGGTTTCTTAATGGGAACTATAATTGTAAATATGCAATGTATTATAGAGTGGATTGATGTTGATAGACATATATGCAATGTAATATAAATATTATGTCACTCAGGTTATCTATCACTGGACAATTCGAACTTTGGATGGAGTTATTGTGGAATCTACACGATCTGAACATGGAGGTGAGGTGATTGTTAGTTGCATGGGGACCTTTTTTCGGTGTCTTTAAATTGGATGAATGATCATAATTTTGCATTCCTGAAAAAGTGACTGTTTTTTTACTGTGATTTCGGTTGTTTGAATGTTTGAAATAAAAGCTCCCTAGGGATTACAAAAGCTAAGCTTGAGTTCTTTTGTTTGAAAGTTTGAGACACACAGCTATCTGATTTCATAGAAAACTCCCTACTGTAGAAAATGTTGGAGTTCGGTACTGCTGATTTAGAAATTAGGTTTTGTAAAGATAGTATTTATGCTGTATTTTCATCTTCTGCGGTAGACATAATTGACGGGCTAGACAATTGTTTATGGCATTGCAACAGGCAAGGGCATGCCGATAAGACATGTATTGGGTAAAAGCAAGATGCTATTGGGCTTGCTAGAAGGAATTCCAACAATGTTGAAGGGCGAAGTGGCAATGGTAACATACTATATATTAAGTTTTTTCTCTCTCTTACTTATGTTTTTTGCTGCGGACTATGCTAAAGTCATCTTATCTTTGTTTTTCTCTTATCTATATCTTTTGCTGGTGACTTTGCTAAAGTCATTTTATATGTAGGAAATAATGAAAACAGCAATGATTTCCATATGAATGTTTGAAGACAGAAAACAAAACAATATAATGTAATATTTTTCTATGTAATAATAGTTAACACAAGCCATATAAACAAAAGCATTTTCTGAAGCCTAACACACCCTCGGGTTTTTGTGTCCTTGTCTTATTTGGCTACTTCTATCTATGCTTTTTCTTAAGAATTTGATGAATTATCTTAAGGATGCATTTATTTTCTATAGCCGATAAATTGAGTGATTAATACTCATATTTCACAGAGGAATAATGAAAGTCAAATACTAGTTGTCGGTGGTTACTTTTGGAATGTGACTTTGATGAATCTTTAGTTGAATATATGACGACAATTCTAGTCTGATGTCTTTTTCATTTTCCTCATTTTCTCTTTCTGTTAGGCAGATGTGTTATCTGTTTTGTGATTTATTTTATTTCATTTTTTACTTTAAGGGAGAATGAATTATCTATCTGTACTGAAATAGTTTTTCAATTACTTTCAGTTGAAGATGAAACCTCAGCTGCATTATGGTGAGGATGATTGTCCGATTTCTGCTCCTGATGGGTTTCCTAAGGATGATGATCTCCATTTTGAAATAGAGCTGATAGAGTTTTTTAAGGCCAAGGTAAGGATGTGATCTTTGAATTTTATTATTTATTATCTTTGTTTATGGTCTCTAGTTTTTTATCTTGATGAATTTTGGGTTTCGTTATACTCTTTGTTTATGTATTATTGATTGGGTTTTTAAAACTGATTTAATAGATATCCTTTTCATCTATCAACAACAATCAACAAAGCCTAATCCTTAATTGGGGTCGGCTACATGGATCAAATGACACCATAATGTCCTATAAAATACCATACTTCTATAAAAAAAGAAATACTTCTTTTATTTATTTTTGGATAGACAGATTTTAGTAATTAGTCGTTAGGTTAATATTTTCTTTTCTCCTTCAACCATTAGCTCAAATCAGTTGACCCTTTACTTTTTCCTTCACCAATATCGTTATTGTATTCCTCAGTACTGCAGTACTGATATTTAGGTTTATTATAATTTTTTCCTTTTCGGAGTAACTATTTATTGGGATTGAAGTTTTGCTTCTAACCCTCATTTCTTGCTTTTGTTTATATTTACAGGTTGTCACTGATGATTTGGAAGTGATTAAAAAGGTATAATTGTCTAGAATGATTTGCTGCATGGTTAATAAATCTATTGTGATTGTGTTCCCACATTATATTGGATGACTGATAAAATGGGAAAAATGCCAGAGCAAAAAAGAGAGGAAAAGAGTTGTGTTGTGTATGATGCAAATGGTTAAATTGCAACTACCAAATCGTTGGTAAATGAGATCCAAAACTGCAACATTACTGCCTCAATTGTGGTTGCAGATTGCGTCATGCAAGAAGCCTGGACGCAATTTTAAATATGATATTCTGCTGAAAGAAATATTTATATATTTTTCTGTTTAATATCATCATTGAGTTCAATGGTTTTGAAGCTTAAGTATTGATTTATAATCTTGTAGATGTTGACAATAAATTGTATGGGAAGTTTTGATTTCTATCTGATATTCTGCTGAAAGAATTGGCAAAATTTTGATGCCACTTTTTGCATACTGTGTTTTCATCTTTATATCTTGAGCTCAACAAGTCATAGTTGAAAGGGGGGAGTCTAACAGGAATGACGCCCCTTTTTGTAGAAAGGTATAATTTTTTCATGAGTAAACTTTCTTTTAGTGTAGGTTGTACACGAAGGGCAGGGTTGGGAATCTCCTAGAGAACCTTATGAAGTGAAGGCTTGGTAAAAAAAATCTTTTTTACCACCTTGTTCATGTATGGAAGTAAAATGGTTTGGTGGAAGTCTGATGATTTTTGTGTGGTAATTTCCAGGATTTCAGCAAAGACAGCTACTGGGAAATTGATCACGTCACAGAAAGAAGGAGAACCATACTTCTTTACATTTGGAAAATCAGAGGTAGTTAAACCACTTGACAGCATGTTTTTTTTATAATGATATATTGGTGGAATAACTTGCATGGATAGTTGGCTGGCCACTCCCAGTCTGCCAAATATTTCAGCTATGATCTGATATGGTTGTACCCATACTTTTATTTCCCGATTCCAGCATGTGAAGCAGCTCCCCCAAAATACATATAAGAAAGCTATTTATTTCCTAGGATTGTTGTGTTGGCAATTTCTTACAAAATGCCTTAATATTGATTTGCTTTCTGCACCATGTATTTTATGATTACCCTGCTGATACATTCAGGTACCTAAAGGTCTTGAAATGGGGATCGGAACAATGGTTCGGGAAGAAAAAGCTGTTATATACGTTACAAGTCAGTATTTAACCGAGTCTCCTCTGATGCCTGTTGTAGAAGATTCTGAAGTCCAGTTTGAAGTGGAGCTTGTTCACTTTATTCAAGTGAGCCATGATCTTCCTTGCTAATAAATTTGTTTACTGTTGACAGTGTCATGCGCGTGTGTGTCTATGGAAACATACTCCCTTGAATTAAGAGATTTTACTTTCTAGGCTAGATGGATCATCCATTTGGTAACACTCTTTTAAAAAACTTGGAGATGAGAGGATATTATTATACAAAAATAAAATATTGACAATCATGTAAGTAGTTCATCGAAAGATATACCATTTGATCTACAAAAGTTACCCAAGTTGCTAATGCAGGAAAAAGGGATAGACTTAATGAAAGAGACACAATTTACTCTTAAAACAAGAAAGCAAAGAGTAGAATACTGCAGAACTTATAGGATATGCTAACCTCCCTGTCCAATGGCCCCATAAAATTCAATTACTGAATGGCCTATTCCCTACCTTTCCTTCCTTCACCATTGTTTCTTCAAGCTGTTCCCCTTCCTACCCTCTTTTCACAAAAGACATGATTTTACAACTAACATCCCCCTTTTCATTGAAGACATGGTTTTTACAACTAACATCCCTCTTTTGTCAAGAAATGAGGGGCGACCAGCTTAAAGAAATTGGGATAAATCGGGATCATACTGTCACATTTACAAAGCGGGCTGAAATTCCCAACATTGGATTATTAAGCCTAACACTAGCCCTTTTTGCAGTCTTGTCATACTAGTAAAAAAAAGATGGTGGTTGGTTTTGTGTACAGTGTTGACTATCTGTCCTTAAACATTCTAACAATAACTAATAAATTCGAATTTCCCATCATTGGTGAGCTATTAGATGAGTTGGGGGATGCAATACTTTTTTCCGGATTGGATTTGGTTACGACCGACCTGACTATTAGACATTACTTTAACTCTTTAGACAATAATCGACTTACTTGAAGGAAGGGGAACAAGGTCCCAAGTTCCATTATTATTAAGTACGCATATTTCTGTCTTAGCCCGTCACCACTCAAGATGAGAAAGAGCTTCATTTCTAGTCTTAATCTTAAGAATCGATACAAAAGACGTGAAAGAAATACTAGCAAAATGCAAAGATAACAAGAAATTGTAGCTCAAAGTAACATAATGGACTGTTGTCCAATATGAGAAAGAGCTTCGCCTGCATTCTTACAGGTGGTTTGTATACCTTTTTAGAGTGCAATAAGTCTCGGAAGTTCTGGTGGTGGAGGTGGTCGATGATGATATACTTACAAAGGACTTGAAACTCGGGTATCACTGGAGGGATGTAGTTTGTTGAGACAAGAGGAAGATATGAAGTGACGGGGATAGACTTGGGTGTGGAAAAAGACCCAAAGAAAGGTTACATCAATTGAGATTAGAATTAGATACATTCTCAGAGTAGGAGAATAACAACAACCACCTTTTTGTAATTCTGACTACTATTGTTGAGGCCAATAAAGCACTGTGTTACTTGTCCTGAGTTAATTTTTCTTCAAATACTTAGCTTTTAATAAACTTTTTGAGGAATATGAATAATCGGAATAATTAATACAATAATGTCATGTCCAGCATTTTGTACATGAAATGTGGATTTTTGTTTTGATCTTAGACATATATTTGTGTGAACTATGGTTTATCTTTTCATAGTCATATTCAGAGACCCAGTTTTTATTCTTTGTATTAATAGTTGTGTTTGGAGCATGTGATTTTGTACTTTTAATTCTTTTCTCCGACCAAGATGTTGAGCATGCTTAAATTGCTTGCTGGTAAAATATATTAACAGGTGAGGGACGTGCTTGGAGATGGGCGTCTGATAAAACGTCGGATTCGTGATGGAAAAGGTTTGGATTTATAATAGAGTTAGTTTCTAGTTTATGGGAGCCTTCATGATTTCTCTTTAGCAAAAGAAAAAAAACTAAAATATAAAGGAAATAAATAGAAAATTATGTTATGGAAAATGCCTGGCTTGTGCTCGAGTATAACGTCCCGATACTTTAATTATACGAAGTCAGTATTTTTTTTCCTCTTTTTTCACTGTTATCATTTTTATTTTTGTAAAATAGTATGTAGGATGATGATGCCAAATTTTTATTATATGCTTATTATGGTTATGAAGTTCAAGTGAAGTTGATTATTTATGTTCAAAGTTTTTTTTTGATATTGTATTTTGTTTGTAACAAATAGGTGATTTTCCAATGGATTGCCCCCTTCATGACAGTCTACTTCATGTTCATTACAAGGGCACTGTTCTCGGTGAAGAAAAGAGGGTGTTCTATGACACAAGAGTTGATAACGATGGTCAACCATTGGATTTCTGCTCTGGAGAAGGGCTTGTGAGTTTACAATTTAATCATAAATAACCAAAGTTCCACTGTTTAACTGTACAGTTTATTTTAGTAAGGGTTTTGTGTCTGAAAATTCCACGTTTAGTTGTTTATTAATAATGTCTGCCTTTCATTTTCAAGCTCTTCATGCAAATAATAAACATTTGCACTGGAATCTCTTTTATTTTTCTGTTCAGGTACCAGAGGGATTTGAATTGTGTGTTCGTCTGATGCTACCAGGAGAGATGGCTCTAGTCACATGTCCACCAGACTATGCTTATGATAAGTTTCCAAGGTGGTTGATGAAATTTTTGGCTTCATAAAGCGTTTTAGCAACCCCTGATTGAATGTGATCTTTATGATTAAATCCACTGGCACTCTGTTCTATGGTGCTTCATGATCCTATTGACATGCTTTTTTATTTATCAGGCCTTCAAATGTTCCTGAGGGTGCTCATATTCAATGGGAAATTGAACTTCTATCTTTTGAAATGCCAAAGGTAATTTGAAAAAATCTCTAGTGGATGCAGATTTATATGTGGTCTTGAATGCTTAGTACAGTACCGGCAATAGCAAAAAACAAGTTATGCAGAAATTAGAATGCTGATTTGTCATGTTTGCATTGATTTTTTAAATTGATTATTTTTGCATTTTGGTTGAGTTAGGTTTCCTTAAAAATGTTCTTTTATGAGATAGATTTAAGGTTTAGATGAAGTACAATTGTTCTATGATTTTGATCCCTGTAAATTATATGAAAAAGTTAGCATTTAATCACATACTTAGGTGTTATTTAATATTTTCTCTTGGAGGAGTGCTAGCAACATAACTCTAACACATATTCAAACACACTTTCCTCTATTGGTTAAAATTCATATGGGTCCCACCAAGTTTATATGTGACCTACGTAATTTAGTGAGACCCATGTGAATTTCAACCAATAGAAGAGCGTGTGTTGAGATGTGTGTTAGAGTGTTCCTAGCATTGTTCTTTCTTTTGTAACAATAATTAGCTTTCACAACTTTATATTAGCTTTCATTAATATGCCTAATGCATTATGGACTTGATCCTTATTACAGGACTGGACAGGAATGGACTTTAAAAGTATAATGTACGAAGCTGAAAATATCAGAAACAAGGTATGCAAATGAAGCTACCCAATTTTCTACCCATGGTTAGTCTTCAGCTTGCTATCCCTGATTTTTCGGTGGTACAGACACGACTGCCAAAGAACAGTATGGAACAAAGAACTAATGTGCTACTCTTTTTGTAAATAAGTTCTCAATTGTGCACTAACATAGCATTTCAACCCTACTGGAAAGCTATCATCTTTCAGATCAAGCAATGAATTAGTTTTCTGACTTGGTAGTAGAGTAGTAGTCCATTTCTTTTAGATGAATATTTTTGAAAATATAAGTGGAGCTTTTTCTTATAAATAAATTTGCTTAAATCAATTATAGACAGCTAATTACCTACAGTTATACTGAATGTATATTTAAGCAATTGAAGATTAGTTGAAAAATAGAACTGGATCAAAATATAGAAAGAGAAGTGAATAGATATTCTATTACACCCCAGGTATGAGATACCTAGTTCTTTTCCTCCCCTAAACCGAAAACCCCTTGCTTTTCTTTCCTTTCACTGTTTATACCCTTTAAATTCCTCTCTCTCTAATTATCTAACCAACTGTTTCACTGACTTCAGCTGTCTAATCTACAGTTCCAAACAGTTTTTTCTGTTAGTAGATTAACCCTGTTGAGTTTAACGCCTCTCTAGAAACTGAATAGAATTATATGAATTTTCATTTTTTGTGTAATATTGTTTTTGAACTATGGATGGTTATTGATTATTTCTTAATGATAGGGTCCTCAATTTTTCTTTTACATGTTGCCCTCTTCTTTAGGACAGGACTTTATGTAGCATACTAGCTATTATGCAGACATTTATTTATCTAATTATGCTGGGCTGTTAGTTGCAATATGTATTTCTAATATGTGATGTAAGAAGGTTTAGGAGGCACTTATGGTATGTATTTGGTAGTTTTGGGCAGTTCCTTTTTTGCAGGAGTTTCACAACTCAGACAGAACTGCTGCCGTAACCTCTGTGTTTAATCATAATATATACAAATTATACACCAATTTCAGTTGGCTATCAGAATCTCTCATGCTCTAGTTCTTTACAGGGTAACAGGTTATTTAAAGAAGGAAAATATGAACTTGCAAAGGCAAAGTATGAAAAGGTAACCATCTTTCTTTATTTCTTTCTTATGCATGTGTTTATTTTAATTGCAGAGGTTTCAGAACTTTTAGATGTTGGAGTTGTAGGCCCTTCTGCGTCCTATAGAACTATATGCTTAAATCCCGCATAGTCTAGAAATATAATCAAATTAGTCCAATCCTCACATATTAAGATAGTTTTTACTGTTGGTTTAGGCTATTGCACTAGAGCCTGTCCTTGACATGTTATTGGGACACCTGTTGATACTCCAAATGTCGAGTCCTGTACTGAGCATGAACTTCATGAAGAAGGGTGTCTAGATCCAACATCAACTATATGAGTCTGCATTTACATTTCCTCATCGTTGTTCGTTTATCTTTTTGATAGGTCAAAACTGTGGTATTGCTTCAACAAAAGTTCTGTTATTTCTATTAACTATATTATGACTCATTTCTATCAAATTCTGTGTCAGGATTTGAAAGCTACTAAGTTCTATTTATTGTTGTCTCAGTTGTAATATCTTAACATTTATACTTGCATTCAAGTTTTGTGTACATCCTTTGATGATCACTTGGATGTTTGTTTTTGGCTCTGACGGTATCACTGTACCATCAATCTTATTAACATTATGTGGTAGTTGGCAACAGGTGCTTCGAGAATTTAATCATGTTAATCCACAAGATGACGAGGAAGGAAAAGTTTTTTCTGATACACGTGTAAGTGATCTGATGCATTTCCCAATGTATTATATATTATCAATAATATTCCTAACAGGGGAAGCATATTTACCTAACTTATGACTGATAGATTGATCCCAGTTCATACTAAATCTTTCTGTCTCTCTCATGATTGAAGAATTTGCTACACCTGAATGTTGCTGCATGCTATCTAAAGCTGGGAGAATGCAGAAAGTCCATTGAGACTTGTAACAAGGTATGCTTGATGGCCTCTGCTGTGTAGGCTTTGTTTATTTGATTGGAATAAAGCTAAGAAACAGAACAGCATATAACAATAATTGGTTTTTCCACTTCGAATTTATAGAAGAGGTGTCATTGGCTAAGCAAGTTATTTATTTTATCTATGATTAAGAATGCTAATTCTGATAGTTCCATATCTTAATTTTGCCTGTTATGTGTTTTTCAATGGACTGTGCAGGTTTTAGAAGCAAATCCTGCGCACGTCAAGGGTCTTTATCGTCGTGGAATGGCCTACATGGCTAATGGAGATTTTGACGAAGCAAGGGCTGATTTCAAAATGGTAGAAACCTTGGTTGTCATCTTTCTTTTGAATATAAGGCATAATATCCGTTTTTGAAGTCAATTGTGTGCTTTTACTTTAGATGATGAAAGTCGATAAGTCAACTGCATCAGACGCAACAGCAGCCCTTATAAAACTTAAGCAGAAAGAGCAGGTGGGTTTGAAATCACCAATTGGTTATATTCTCTTAAATGCTTGACATGTCACAGAAGAAATTTCTAAAACTTTATTCTTAAACGAATTCCAATTCATTTGTAGGAAGTTGAGAAGAGAGCTCGGAAACAATTTAAAGGGCTATTTGACAAGAAGCCTGGAGAAATTGCAGAAGTTAACGCTAATGAAGATGAAGATCAGGTCACCCGTGAAAGCCAGAAAGATGGTGAGGTACATAAAGACGCATCAGATGGAACGAACTCGGAGGATTCACATGAAGCTGTGCCTGATGCAGATCAAAGGGGTTGGTTCTCTCAATTTTGGCCAACTGGTAGTAGAATTTTTTCATCTCTTGGACTTCAAAGATGTACCATACTATAATGTATCATAAAGAATGTAGCAAATGGCAATAAATCTTCAAATGGAGGCATTCAAAATCACTACCACAGGTTATTAGAGAGTTCAGGCATGTTACCAGGAATGTTTTTCTTGTTCAGTTTTATATTGTAATCTTAAACGCTTGTAACCGTATATTTAATAAAAGAGAGCTGTATGCATAATAGGAATACAGAGGATTGATGTAGAGAATTGTAGTCTAAACAAACTGAAATCATAGTAGAAAATTTGAAACTTAAATTTATGCAATCCCTTAACCATCACAGAAACACATACTTATTATCATCCACCATATACAACAGAAAAGAAAACTTTATTCAATTAAAAGCAAGAAGTTGCTTAAAACAAATAAATTGACACTACTAGATCAAGATCATATGATTCACATTACATTTTATTTTCAGTAAGTCAGACTCAATACAAACTCAACATCAAATATCAATTTCTTAACTTTGACTGTGTAAAATCCAAATCTCTTATCCCAGCATCTAAATTTCATCAATACTCACGGCGGGTTCATGCTTTTGTTCTTTGTTGGCAGCAGAAATAGCATGAGACTTAACTAGAAAGAATCCCAAAGTATGACCAGCAACAGCAGCAATAAAGATTCCTATATTGAAAGACATAACAGCAAGCATAACCAAGTAAAGGAAACTGATACGAAAAAAGTAAATAGCAGCTTGAATCAACCCTCCCTTTATGTGATTTGTCCCTTGCTTGATGGTGGGTTTGTTGGGCAAAAACTCAACAACCAAAGCAAGGAAAAACACAAAACAGAAAGCTAAAATATACATGCCAACACTTTCATTAGGCCACCCAGGGAAAAGTACTATAGCATCTTTTCCCCAATAGAGACTCATATGCATAGTCATTTTCTTCATCCTCATCATTTTCACTATGTTATGATGAGAAACCATAAAAAGATATTTGTATTTATATACTTTTAATGAATAAAATTATAAGTTTGCTAAAAATTCTATTAGTTGGAATGTTAATTCTTTTTAGATATTTATTTATTTATTGAAAAGGTGATTTAGTTTGATAAACTTCTCATTTTTTTAAAGTTACAAATCAAGATACAAATCTTATAGAGTGAAAGAGACAATGGATGATATATGTATTGTTTTTTATTTTTTTATTTTAAAAACAATTAAATATGCAATGTGTGCCTTTTCATATATAAGTTAGGATGAATAAAAACAAAATTTGGCTTTGATGAAAATAAACTATAAATTAGTTTATAGTTAAAAACAAACTCTAAACCAAAATTAAAAAAGAAAGGAAAAAGAAAAAGAAACTAGTTTATATATATAGTTCAAAATTGTCTTAATTATTAAGTGCAATTTAGTTGTTTGAGAGTGATCATATTTTATATGGGATCTTGATTTCAAATTCAAGTAACTACGTCTCTTCATTCACTATTTGAGTAATATATATTGATTATTATTTTCCCATAGCCAAAAAATTAAAACAACTTCTAAAAGACACATTTAGATTTGTTTTTTTCTTCTAAAATATAATTTTAATATATTTAAAGACTATTGCAACATCTCACATTTAAAAATAAAAATCAAAACATAATGAAGATACACTCTTTAAGATACATCTATATTTTTGTGTATGAAGTACTAAACTAAATTTGATTTTCGGTATTTTTTTTAACTAAGCCTCAACCAAGTCAAAAATTCAACTTTACCTAAAATCTATAAATATGGTAATTTCTTCTAACTAAAGAAAACCATTTATTACTTTATTTTTCTCTAACACCCGTCAACCAAATAACTTATAGAACTTTGCGTATCTCTCTTCTATAGGAGATTATACCACAAAAATAGAAGTGTTACACCTTGAATAAATGAGGAGGGTCCTAAAAGTATCAAATCAATTCAAAATATGATAAAAAATACATTCGAAAATAGATGAAAACTAACCTCGTTCTTTCTCAATTCTATTAAATAACTCAGAGTAGAGAATTTAATTTGACACATCTCATTTTAAATATGACATTTCTCATATTTGTTTATCCCCAAAATGTCTCGTTGACAATTTACTTTTAAATTTTTATATTTGTTTTTTTTTAATTATTGGTTAAAGGGTGAAAACGAAATTTTCGGCGGGATTACGAAATTTCTGATATTGATTTTTGCTTGATAATCAGAAACTCTTTGCATTTTCAAAATTTTCGGTTGTAATTAATCGAAAATTCTAAAATATCCAGTTGTGATATATCATAATTTTCATCTTTCCGGGACGATTTTGCAAAAAAATTATATAAATCAGAAATTTCCAAAATTTCCAGTAGCCAGCATAATACCAGAACTTTGAAATTTTCAGAATACCGAAAATTTCACAGACAATTGAAATTTCTAGTATGTCTGCAGATGAAATTTTGTAGTTGTGTGGTCCTGAGCCGACAACTTCAACTTCTTATACGGATTCATGTATAGATTTTACGCAGTTCTTCACCACATATACCACATGTTTCCTAATTTACACATTTTTATTTGTTTTCCAAAATTAATGAAATTGATAAAGTTTACTAACACCACTTTATGTTGTAATTGACAGATTTTTGAATCTCGGTCTGAAGTTTTAGAATGGACACAGTCTATTGGTAAAAAATATGGTATTGTTGTTGTTACAGTTCATTCCGATTATGCTAATGGAATCTGAGGGAAGGATACATTGATTATGGATTGTGAGAGAGGAGGAAATTACAAAAGAAAAAATGAATCCGGGAACACTTCTTATGGCATATATACTATGAAGGTTAAATGTCCATATAAGCTGAGATCTATTTTAAGTGGTATTGGTTGAGAGGTGATGGTTAGATGCGAGATTCATAATCATGGACTAGATAAGGACATGGACGACCATGAAAGAAAATTTGTGAATGACCTGACGGAATATAATATGGCACCAAGATACATCATTTCTACTTTGAAAGACAATGATCCAGAAAATCTCACGAGTATTACTCAGATTTATAAAGTTAGAGCAACATACTTATTGGACAAGAGAGGCGCAACGACAGAAACGCAAATGTTATTGAACCTTATTCACCAAGAAAAATACACGTGTTGGACTAGAAATAGGGAGAATTAAGATATTGTAGCTGATATCTTGTTTTCCAAGTTATTCTATGACATTTTCTCCATAGTTAAGAATGCGTTACAAGTAGAACACTTGAGTATCCAGGGTAGGGATAAATGAATTTCGATTCTTGATATGGGTTACCCTATTGCTTCTAAATACAATGTCGTATTTATTTCCTTTTCCATGAGACTTAACATCATATTTTCCCACTTTTCATAGCACCACCCATGTGCACGAGTCGGCATACAATCACTGCTATTGATTTTGTCAAGGATAATCATTGTGTTCGATTAAAGTTGAAATCCGATTGCCCATTACCTCCTGTCACTGCTCGTTGGAGAGAGAATTGTACTAATGATGCAAAAGCATGAGAATCATTTTATGCAGGCCGCTTCAATCATTGAGAAGATTTGTGTAGGAAGTGATTGTAGTTTGTTTTAACCATATATATATATGACAATTATTCTATGTATATTTGAAGTCGATTAGCTATTTTATCGTATAAATTATCCAGCAAAAACTCAAAAATTTTGGAAAAGCAACATTTAGAACTACCACAAATTTGAAATTTCTGACATTAGTTTTGTTGACATACTAACCGGAAATTTAAAATATATGGTACCTAAAATTTCCGGTACATGATAGAAACCACTGTAAAATTAATAAATTACAAAAAATTTCTAGTATTTTTTGAAAATTTTCGATACTAAACCGTAAATGTTTAAACTTTTGATATTTAATAGGAGCATTATATAAAAATGCCTAAAATAAAGGGTGTCAAGTATAATTAAAGGAGTGTCAGAGTAAATCCTTCTAAGAGTATTACAAGATATTGTATCATTGAAGAAGAAGAAAAATGTTCGTTAAACTCTGAATATTTTATTATGAAAAGAAAAATTAATAACGCAAAAATAGAGTATGAATATGATATTTATACACACATGAAAAAGTAATTGACTACTATATTCTAGGAACTAGTAACATAAATCAAATTTTTAATACCCCATAAGTGGGAGGGAAGATAGTCATAAGTGGGAGGGAAGATAGTGTCAACTCCAAACTTAGAGAGATTGTTGAAAAATGTCAACATTAGTAATTATAGCTCTTGTAATTTGATGATAACATACATAACACTTTAGGTATATAGCATCACATGTTAAGTTATCTCTCTAATGAAGTATTACATAAAATATCTTATCTCACGTGTAGAAAATTGGATGAGAGACACCCTATTTATATAAGACTTGGATCATTTTGGAACTTAAAAATATTATCATGTTATTAAGAAACTTTTCGGAGATGCATATCCGAATAAATCCTATTTTACGTAAAAAAAGATGTTTTCAGATATGCACATTTGAAAAATTTCCTGTTTTTTATTTATTTTAAAAATTAACACGGGATTTATCCGAATATGTATATCCGAAATCACCCATGAACCATAGCCAAACCCAAAACTTAGAAAATATAAATAGAAATTGTAAACTATAAAATGAGTAAACAAAAATGGTCAATATTTTATGCCATAATTACTGAATATATTACTTATGTATTGAATCGTATCAAGATTACATCATTGACGATAATACATTCAAAAAGTGTATCGATTATATTCTAAAATGCATCAAATGATCCATCACAACATGAATTTATAATTGGTTCTGCCTTCGTCTTTTCCTGATTTGATTATCTTTCAAGCTCACTAAATTTGGTGAACTCTTCCATCCAATCCAGAAATTGATCTGGCCAAGTTTCTGCCTTTTTTGTTGAATGTGCCGTCCACTTCAAAGATGTACTTGGAATATGACACACCGATTTCAAATAAACTTTAATAAAAGGTATCAATTTTGAAAGCCATCATATGCACATGATGCGCCTGGAAGGGTCTT